GTTGTATTTGTGGGTTACGCACTTGCACACTTGTACCATTCCCCATCCCAGACCGTTATGAGTACTGGGATGCCTTTCTCCTCTTTGCACGGGACTTGGGTTTTGGTAGCATGTGCATTGTACCTTCCTCACCTCTGGCCATATGAGCACAGGGGTGCCTTTCTCCTCTTGCACGTAGTGGGGATCCATGGGATTTGGGGTACCATGACACATGGCACATGTACTTGGCACGCCCCCGACCTTTATGAGTACCAGGGAGCACAACACGCGAGAGGGTGACTAGGCCTCTTTCTAGTTTCGGGGGTTAGCTTGTTAGGTACATGCAGCTCTCCATCTCACTGTGTAGGGCTGATGAAGGGCTCTCCGTCGAGCCTTCACACGCCCCGAACGGAGCACCGAGCGCTGAGTTACGCGCGTTTTAGTGGTGCGCTCTCTGGTTTCGCGCGAATCTGGAGAGCGCCGGGCTGGCACCCGAACATGACTGTTCGCATGTTCCGGTTTTTGCCACCCGGACCCGACGGTTACCCTGTATAGTATATGTCGGACCATAAACCCTGTAGGGACTGGAGGCTGGAGGCTGCCGGAACCGTCGGATTTGCCATCTGGAGCCCGGATTGGGAGATATGGGCAGCTGGGTGTAGGCCCTTGGTAGGCTGCACAGTTGGCAGCCTGCAAGGGCAGTTCTTTGCCTAGGTGGCAGGTTAGGCCCACATTGCACTTTGGGGCATTGGGTTTGGTTGGGACAGCTATAAGTAGGGAGCTCTTGCTAGGGTAGATCCTTGTCTTGCTGATGATGCCTTCGTGGCGAAATCGATACGAGACTGCTTCTACCTACACTTGAGGTACTTACTCTATTGCATGTCCCTACACCCCTAGGCTTAGGACTTGTGTTTTTTCAGCAGTTTGCTTGCCTAGCTAGAGGTTTTTTGCAGTTTTCTTGCATTCCGCTAGGCCATTTTCGTCGGCGTTTTTTCCTGCCGCTTGGGGAGCCTCGTGTTGCCCCCTGGCGGCCCTAGCCTACCCTTAGAGTAGTGCCATCGGCTAGACTTTCAGAGACTCGTGCCGCTCGACTTCTCCCAGTCTAGGCCGTTAGTCTCTCGTTCTACCGATAGGCCGTCACAGCCACTTTCTTCGTTAGCGACTCTAGAATGTCTGGAGCAGCACTGCAGCTCAGTTCTTTGAGCATTCCTATCAAACCCTAAACCTATTGCACTGACGCCGGTGTTGGAGAGTGGCGTAGACGATACAGACTCCTAGTTTTTTTCCGTTTCGTTAGTCTTTTAGACGTCACCATGAGTGGGCTCGGAGTTTCTGCAGCGGCAGGCACTGGGGGAGGAGCCGGTGTCGGCGGTGCAGGAGACCAGGGGGGATCAGCGGCTGCAGCTATGGAGACTAGTGCACTAGCTACTGTCGCTGATATTACTGAGCAGTTTCGGCGTACTCGTAGACGGACCGAGCGAGACGAGGAGGACAGACAGACGGAGTTGGCGCTGGAGCAGCAGGCCGAGTGGCAGCGCAGCATACAGCAGCAGCTTCGTCTCAGGAATATCGAGGGGGATATCCTGCGAGACCGGTCCGTGATAGACAGTTGGGTTAGGATGATCTCTCGTGACAGGGAGCAGTTGGCACAGGAGGCAGCTTCCATTCGCGAGCAGCTGAGACAGGAGGCTGAGACCTTGGCACAGCAGCGACAGCAGCGACCACGGCTTGGGCTACCGTCGTCGCAGCAGGAGCCACAACAGCAGGGCCAGCAGCAGCAGCAGGGGCAGCAGCAGGCCCAGCAGCAGCAGGGTCAGCAGCGGCAGGGTCAGCAGCAGTCTCAGCAGCAGCAGCCGCAGCGGCAGCCGCAGTGGCAGCAGCAGCCGACAGCCACTGGTGCGGCGGGTGAGGCTACCGCCGGGGGAGAGCAGACAGACACTCTTGCCTCGAGGTTGTTTCGGCAGGTCTTTGGTGGTCTTTTCCCAGACACTTCTGGAGGCGGGGCAGCAGCCACAGGTGCAGCAGGTGCAGGGGCTGGGGCTGCCACGGACCCTGCTCTACTTTCCAGGGTGGCGGAGATTAGGGACGCCATCCAGGCAGAGACGGTACCACCAGAGTTTACAGCGCTCATAGAGACAGAGTTCGCTGTACTAGCAGCTGACTTGCGAGCCGTCGTTAAGACCGAGAGGGGTCTGGCGAAGACTCGCAAGCAGTTTTCTGAGGGACAGGTGGCGCACTGCATCCCGAAGAACTTTGTACCTGAGCTCCACCTCCACACTACAGAGGCACAGGAGCAGCTTCGGACTAGGATGCAGGAGCTTCAGCAGCACGCGCAGGGACAGATGCAGCTGATTCTCATCAGCGGCCAGGTGGAGGACTTGCAGCAACTTCAGAGTCGGGTCTCCACCTGGCGTGACAGGCTTCTCGTGACGATAGACGACCGACTTGCGAGAGCCCGTGATGTGGGGTTCCTTGCGCAGCAGTTTGCAGCAGAGCCGGCACGCTCTGCTATCTGGCAGAGCATCCAGACGCTGAGGTTAGGTGCCACGCTGCTGTTACAGACGCACTCCTCCGTGTAGGGCTGCAGCACCGGCAGTACGCAGACACTGAGAGCAGGCGGGTGGAGCAGCAGCAGCGTCAGAGAGAGCGACGTCAGGAGCGGCGTGAGCAGGCAGAGGCGACGCCTGTAGACCAGACCATGGGAGAGTTTGTCCCCAGGGAGGTCGAGAGGCAGGTGGGCGCGTGGCAGGACGAGGCCCGGGAGCAGCTTCGTCGCATCCTCGAGCGACTTGACCGTTTGGAGGGGCGGCGCTCAGGGCAGTCAGGCCAGCAGCAGCGAGGCAGGACCAGGACCAGGGAGGTTACGGGAGACGGACGCCTGGAGTCCGTCTCTCCTGTCCGTAGCCGCACTCCGCAGGGCCGACAGGGCACCCGCTCACAGCCTACTCAGGGAGCGGGCGCACAGACTGCAAAGTACTCAGGGTGCAGCAGGACAGCCTTCCCAGGGTCAGGGAGCAGCCACCACGACCCAGCAGCGCCCAGTGACACAGACCCAGGAGCAGCAGCAGCAGCAGGGTCAGGGGCAGCAGCAGCAGGGTCAGGAGCAGCAGCGGCAGGGTCCGCAGCAGCAGGGGCAGCAGCAGCAGCAGCAGACCCAGCAGCAGCAGACCGGGACCACACGTCAGTCTGAGCAGGGCCCTGCCTCCACTCAGGGAGGCAAGGGGAAGGGCGGCGGTGGCTCCACGAGTTTCCAGGACCGCAGAGGCGGTAGAGGAGGACGTTGGGACTAGGGAGGTCGTTGGGGGAGGGGTGGACAGGACGGCGGGTGGCAGGACCGTGACAGTTGGTCACAGCAGCCATTCCAGTCTACCTACCAGGGCCCAGCACAGCAGCAGCAGCCGTTTAGCTCTTACAGCCTGCAGCAGCAGCAGCAGCCGTTCAGCCCTTACGGCCTGCAGCAGCAGCCTTCTTGGCAGTACGGACAGGGGGGGTCCTCTTTCGGCCCCTACCAGGGCTCCTTCTTCCAGGGTCCCTCGTACCTTCCCTTTTTTGGCGCACCTGCGCAGCAGCAGTTCTACCAGCAGCCTTTTTTGGGGCCTTCCTTCCAGCAGCAGCAGTTTGGAGCACCCCTCCGGCAGCAGCAGTTTGGAGCACCTCCTCCGACCCCCCCACAGCCCCCCCTGCCACAGCAGCCTCCACAGGGTCAGGGGGAACAGCAGGGGCAGGCGAGACAGTAGAGGGAGTCGTGGGGGAGGAGGTCGGTCGTAGAAGGAGGAGTAGGCCACGTAGGAGGCTGGAGGAGAGTGACACCGACCGTCTTTTGAGACTGTTTGCTAGGCGCTCTGTGCAGGAGGTGGCGGACAAGCTAACTAACGTGGCTGTCCACAACCTCTCGCACAGGCAGTTGTCAGAGGATGAGCTTGCAGGCCTCGCCCTTGGCCTCAAGTTCATCCCGACACCACCCTCTTTAGACCAGGAGCAGCTGAGACAGGCGGTGGAGCGGTTTCAGAGGAGGGTCACGTTAGCTTGGCAGTTCCGGGACAGTCGCAGACCAGCACCCAGGTTCAGAGTCCCACGTCCCAGCTGGCAGCAGAGTTCGGGACCAGAGGAGGTTGAAGAGTACCTGGCCGGGGTAGCTGACAAGGTAGAGGGTTTGTCGGGGCTGATAGGGGGGCCAGCGCAGCCCAACGTGAGCAGGAGGGTGTTGGGCGCGCTGCAGAGGTTGAGTCGGGACAGGTCTATAGTTATTAAACCGGCCGACAAAAACCTTGGGATTGCGGTGTTAGACAGGGAGTGGTACGAGGGGGAGGCGCTGAGGCAGCTGGGGGACAGGGCGGTTTACGAGCCGGTGGCTATGGTGCCATTGCAGGGACTTTGGGGGCAGTTGTGTCGGTGGGCAGAGCAGGCACGCCTGGCAGGGTTGCCGCCGCAAATGTTAGACTTTATCCTGCAGCCGCGCACTCCGTGTTTGGAGCGGGCTACCAGAGCTTGGGAGCGGTTTCGGGTGTGCAGGTTCTACCTGCTACCGAAGCTGCACAAGACTCCAGTAGCCGGCAGGCCTATCTGCTCGTCCACGCTCTGGGTTTTTGAGCATGCATCGGCAGTCTTAGACCACTATCTCCGCCCTTTACTACGGTTTTCACCCTCGCACCTTCCAGACTCACTTGCACTTTTGCACCAGCTAGAGGACCTTCGTGTGCCAGCAGAGGCTCTCTTCCTGACCTACGACGTTGAGAGCCTCTACCCGTCGATCCCTATCGACGCAGGTATCAGCTGCATCGAGAGGTGGTTGCTTCGGTGGGCGGCACAGGGGAGGATTTCAGGGGGGGTAGCAGACATACTGGTGCAGCTGTTGGGGTTGGTCATGAGGCAGAACCACCTCGAGTTTGGTGGTCGTTTCTGGCGGCAGGTTCGGGGGACTGCTATGGGCACGCCTGTAGCAGTGATCTACGCGGTTCTGTTCATGGCTTGGTTAGACGAGAGGTTGCTAGAGACAGAGCCCGAGTTGTCGCAGCACGTCCTTCTCCACCGGAGGTTCATAGACGACGGGGTGGTGGTTTGGACGGGGACACGGGAGCGGCTGCTGGAGTGGGTGGGGGCGTTTGGTGGGTTGGAGCAGACTATTCGACTGACCCACGAGATCTCCACCTCACAGTTCACCTTGCTCGATATCACGTTCAGCAAGGGAGAGCTCTGGCAGACGACGGCTATCTTGGACACCACGACCTTCCAGAAGCCGCTCAACGTGTACCAGTACTTTCCTTTCTCCTCCGCGCACCCCTCTCACTGCAAGAGGGGCTTCATCTTGGGTGAGCTGCAGTGGTACATTCTGAGGGAGTCCACAGGAACCTACATTGACGAGGTTCCCCCGCCTGGGGCGAACATCGTCAGTGGCATGTGGATCTTCAGAGTGAAGCGGCCGCCGGGTTCTCCGCCTGTCTTCAAGGCACGTTACGTGGCTCGTGGCTTCAGCCAGCGGGAGGGAGTTGATTACTTTCAGACCTTCTCTCCCACCTTGAAGATGACCACTCTTCGGGTACTGCTGCACGTTGCTGCTCACCGTGACTACGAGCTTCACTCTCTCGACTTCAGCACTGCTTTCTTGCAGGGCAGCCTGCACGAGGAGATCTGGCTGCGCCGCCCACCTGGCTTCACTGGGTCGTTCCCTCCTGGTACCCAGTGGAGCCTCCGGCGTCCAGTTTACGGTCTCCGCCAGGCGCCACGGGAGTGGCACGACACACTGAGGACTACGCTTGCGGCTCTTGGGTTTGCTCCTTCTACTGTCGGCCCGTCGCTGTTTCTACGCACCGACACCTCTCTACCGCCGTTCTACATCCTCGTGTACGTCGACGACTTGGTCTTTGCCACAGCTGACACTGCTGGACTCGCCTACGTGAAGTCGGAGCTGCAGAAGAGACACACGTGCACAGACCTCAGTGAACTGCGCAGCTACCTTGGCTTGCAGATCACCCGGGACAGAGCACGCCGCACCATTACCCTGACTCAGTCACACATGGTGCAGCAGGTCCTTCAGCGCTTCAGCTTCACGTACTCCTCGCCTCAGGCCACTCATCTGCCTACTCGCCACTCGCTCTCAGCTCTGCCTTCGGATGAGTCCGTAGAGTCGAGTGGCCTGTATCCAGAGCTTGTTGGCTGCCTCATGTACCTGATGACCTGCACACGACCTGACCTTGCATACCCTCTTAGCATTCTCGCACGCTATGTTGCTCCTGGGAGACACCGACCAGAGCACATGGCTACAGCGAAGAGGGTGTTGCGCTACTTGTGCAGTACGTCGGGCATGGGTCTAGTGCTTAGAGGGCGCAGTCCAGTGGTCCTCACTGGGCATGCAGATGCTTCTTGGGCTGACGACCAGGCTACGCAGCGGTCGTCACAGGGTTACACCTTCAGCCTTGGTTCCGGCTCTGTCTCGTGGCGGGCTACTCGTTCGTCTTCTGTTCTCGGCTCCACTTGTGAGGCTGAGATCTACGCTGGGGCCATGGCTGCACAAGAGCTTCGCTGGCTCACCTACCTGCTGACTGACCTCGGAGAGCCGCCTCGTTCTCCTCCAGTGCTGTACGTAGACAACAAGGCCATGCTGGCCTTGTGTCGAGAGCAGAGACTGGAGCACAGAACAAAGCACATTGCTCTCCGCTACTTCCTTGCTCATCAGTTGCAGCAGCGTGGTCAGTTGCGGCTTGCGTACGTGACCTCTGAGGCCAACACTGCTGATGTCTTCACCAAGGCACTTGCGCCTTGTGATCATCAGCGCTTCTGCACCCAGCTGGGTCTTGTACCTGTCTTGCATCACTTGCTCACCTCTTGACCTTGCTTGTACTGTTACATATATATATATCTGCTCTTACTTGTCTAGCCTTATATATATATGTACTCCTGCATGTGAACTGGCCTTGTGGTCTTGTACTTATGCTCGGAATGTGTGGTGACCTTGTGATCCACCCTGAGCTTTGCTTTGTTTTGCTTTGCTTGACTGGTCTTGTGACGCCCTGTTCTCCCCCACTTTGCCTATGGGGGTGTGTTAGAACATCATAGCTTATGCTTTTGTGTAGGCTGTAGTGGGGTATCCCATAGGGGGTACAACCCAATTAGGGTTAGCACTTGTACCCACTTCACTCATAGTTCATTCATTTTTCTCGTTCTCTTTTTCTCAGACGCAACCCATGTGCTGCCGATGGTGCACAACACCATCTTACTGCTGCGCACACGTTACCTCGACTGCAACGACGCGACTCTTGGCCAGGGTGGAGACGCGTTGGGCCCGTTCCTCGACAAGCACGCATCAGGGGAGTTCCGTGAGGTCCTCGTTGCTGGCACAGCTTCCGACGTCACATCGGTCAGCCATCGATACCGAGTGCACGAGGAGAAAATCAAGGGGCAGAAAAGTGGTGTGGACCACCAAGCGTGTTTGAGGCTGGCGCGCGAGTTCATCACGACCTTGGTTGGTCGGCTCGACTACCGCCTCAAGGATCTTTCACACCTCGACGGTGCGAAGCTGTTCAAGCAGGGATCGTATCCCAAGAACCAGGCAAAGCGTGAGCGAAGGCTAGGCCAATGGCTCCAGTCTCTGCGCAACATGTTCAAGAAGAAGCCAGAAGACCGTGATACTCTACCAGGTGCGTCAAATGCCGGGAATGTGCTGCTATAGTCTTCAGAATTCTCTTTCAGCTGCATGTTTCAACCCTTTATGATCTCCTGTCTCACTGTCCCCATGCGCACCCCAACCGCAGGCATCAACTGGGCGAGAGCGCAGAGGGAGATCATCACCTTTTCCACAATCATGGCCTCACACCAAGAGGATGTTGGGTTTGCGGACGGCTTGAAGCTCATGCTGTCCTCCCCCGACTGGGCGACATGCTACCCGAACCTCGTCCACCTGTGGATGGCCGTCGCCGTGCTTCCGCTCAGTACCGTCGAGTGTGAGCGCAACTTTTCACAGCAGAACATCATCAAAAGCTAGCTTCGCGGGAACCTGTGCGGCGCGAATCTAGGAGAGCTGATGGCCGTCTCGCTCCTTAACTACGACATGGAGTGGCCCGATTTACTGAGGAGGTGAAATGCTTCCAAGAAGCGCAGGCCTGCGAATGATGTGCTGATGGCGTCCGGGGAGAGACCGAGCAAGCGTGCGAAGAAAAGATCGGCCGCAGCTGCAGCAGCAGCAGCAGCACTGGCAGCAGCAGAAGCGGCTGCTCAAGAAGCGGCCCTAGCAGCAGAAGCAGCAAGGATGGATGCTGAGTACCCGTGGCTTAGTAGGAAAGAAATGGCCACTGTCCCAGAGTCAGTGGTTAGCGAGGATGATACTGATAATAGCAATGAAGTGTACGGCTCTAGTGACTCTGACTAAATCCTTTGCTACTGCAGCTAGGTTGTTAGGTACTATGAGTAGACATGCTGGTAGGATTCCAGTAGGTTGACTTTTAACCCTATTTTTTTCGTCTTATTTATCAGACTAGAAAAAATATTCCAGCTTATAATGCAGACCATGTAAATTTCGTCGTCCTAGTGTAAGACGGGGGAATTTTTTTTCAGGGTACTGTCAGACAGCCCCAAAACCTAGCGAGAGCCCTCAATGTGACCCAGGAATTGGGATAATTCCTTGCACCCATGTTTGTTACTCGTGGCATATTTTTCCGTAAGGAAACGTCCAATAAGAATACACGCCGAGGATAATATACTCCGACGGTCTGAGCAGGTCTATAATGTTGGGCACTGTGTGGGTGCTCACGGAGTTTGCTGTGTGGTTGTGGCTGAGATCATGCGAGGCCACGTGGCTTCGATCATGTGAGGCCACGTGGCTTCCAATGACTCGGTTTCGAAAGAGCAAATATTTGAGTTTTGCTACAGTGGAGCGTCTCGACTCTCGAATGGACAAGACCTTGGGTTGCTCCGCACCACAAAACCTGCTGCTTGACCCCCGGCTTGGGAAAACGACCTGGACACATCTTCACTCATGGAGGGTGGATGGATGAACCAAATCTAGACTTGCTGGACGAAAAAAAATCCGAGTTTGCAGGGTACCCTGCAAATTCGGGAAAACACTTGCAGCTTCAAGAGCAAAGTTATTGGTTGGATCAGAGGAGCTGTACAGTAGAGCTTCCAAAGTTCCCTTCCCAGCAATTTTCCTCTCCTTCGATCAGTGTGCTGTTCTGGGACAGCAAGGTTGAAGCATCTGTTCCACCCAACCAGATCTCGTTCACCTTTCTAACTCAGCGCCTGCATGAAGCATCCATAGTAAACGCTGACAATCGCTACTTGCGGGACTGCCGCTGGACTGTTGGAAAGGTATGGGTCCCCCTCTCTGCTAATTAAGCGGCATGATAGTGTTACCATTAGCGATAATTCCACTATACGCGCATGGATTTGGAACGCCATAGTTCGTAGGCGTCTGGTGCGGTGCGCACTAGCTGACCACCTTTGACTTGTGTCGCTATTCTGACCTTGACCCTAAATGTGTTTATGCTTCCTTTTCCCCCATGAAAATGTTCAAGACATGCTTGTCTCTTTCTCTTTGTTTGGCGTTCAGGAAATCCATGACACATTCACGTGCTTAGGCCAGAAATTTGCACTCAGACATCGATGCAATTTCTGTTGTCAATTCATTAGCTCCCGATCTCCCCGTGACCTGTACTCATTAGGGTTGAAAAGCGACGCCAACATGGCGGACTCCGCGTCCAGACCGTCATCGTCGACGGCCGACGGCGCGTCTGTGTCGGATGCGCCGCCATCGCTCTCCATGCCCGCCGGTCGCTCCTCCTCCATCGCTTTCCCCTCCTCCGCCTCCACCTCCCGGCGCCGCTGCACGAGCACGGGCGCGGGCAACCTGTGGACGGACCTGGCGTTGCCATTCACGGCGTCGATCAACGACTTTGACGTGAACAACAAGGAGGAGGATGTGCACAAGATGGAGAAATGGCGCCGCTCCTCGCTTGTCCTCAACTCCGCCCGTCGCTTCCGATACACTGCCGATCTTGAATCTAAGAGTCAGGTGCGATGGCTGATTGCTAGATCGGCGGTTGTGGTCAATTCTCGAGCTTTAGCTCGTCGTCATCACACCCGGGCCCTTCCGCACTTTCGACGTTGCGGCACGTTTTGTGAACTGCTGGCTTGTCTTGTCAGCCATTGCGGAAGTTTCTGATCCACGGCCCCTCGTGTTCCGTGCAATGTTCCATCGTCTCGCAGAATGCCTTGTCGCTCAGTCAGCTCCGCGTAGCCATTACCGCCGTCGAACGGTTTAAGAGAGGTAAGCCTCTCCGCTTTCGTTGTAAGCATTCACCGTACTTGCAGCATTCACGATCGCAGTTGACAGTATTCATGCTTTTTTCTTTTACCTCCCGGAAAAAGGACCCGTGACTAACCAAAATTACGCATTTGCGACGAGTTGCAGTCAATAACCATTGAGGTGCAAGCTTTGTTGTATCTTCTTGCAATAAAGTTCGCATCGGTTTGGAATATAGTTCGCTCTGTACTCGATTATGCTCGCCTTCGACCTGCTCTCTTTCCCCTTCCCGTTCCCATCCTCGTCTCGTGACGCATTTTCCTCTCCTGGCCCCAATTACCGCTCGTGTCGTCCCTTCGCCTATCTCACAGCCCCTCCATCTCCTGCACGCGTCCCTCCTTCCGCCAGGCCTGCAAGCGTCGCAGGACTCGTCGTTGCCAGCGGCGCAGGCGGAGGGATTTTCGTACGGCACGGTGGCCCTGCGGCAGCTGGTGGAAGGGCAGGACAGCAAGGCGCTGGAGCGGATGGGCGGCGTGCAGGGCGTGGCCAGGGGGCTCGGGACGGACCTCGTGGCGGGGCTGTCCGGCAGCAAGGACGACCTGGATCGGCGCGTGCGCGTGTACGGGTCCAACACGTACCCCGAGAAGCCTTTCAAGGGCTTCTTCAGCTTCGTCTGGGACGCCATGCAGGTGCGCTCGCTGCTGCCGCTGCCCCACGCTGCTATGCTTCTCATAGACTTTCTCGTTCATTGCTGGCGCCACTCCTGTATCTGTTGCAACTCGTCGTGGCTGTCCCGCACGTGCCCTTCCATGTGCGCGTGTCTCGACGCGTCTGCAGGACCTGACGCTGATAATCCTGGCCATCTGCGCCACGCTGTCGCTGGTCGTGGGCGTCGCGACGGAGGGCGTGGCGGAGGGATGGTACGACGGCGCGGGCATCCTGCTCTCCATCTTGCTCGTCGTCTCCGTCACTGCCGTCAGTGACTACCGACAGGCGTTGCAGGTACCCTCGCTTCCCTGCTCCCTACACTCGCCGCCGTGCGTGGTCGTCCACACATCTTCTGCCCGTTTCTTTCCCTCTCTTTGCACAGCCCTTTTTACTCTGCCGCTCGCTCTCCCTCCCTCGTGCATATTTTCCAACAAGCCATTGCAGCGACAATCCCGTGTCCACGTCCTCCCCTGTGTCTCGTGCGCCTCCCGCCTTTCTCACCCTCTCCTCTCTCTTCCCCGCCCGTGTGTGCGCATGGCGCGCGGGTAGTTTTCGGAGCTGGACCGTGAGAAGAAGAAGGTGTCGATGGACGTGATACGAGGCGGGCAGCGCACGCGCATGTCGATCTACGACATCGTCGTCGGTGACGTCATCATGCTCGCCACTGGCGACGTCGTGCCCGCTGACGGCCTCTTCATCTCAGGTGCGCTGCTGCTCATCCACCCTTGCCTTCCACCGTGTGCCTGCATGTTGTGATGGTTACATGCGAATTTTTTTATATCTCTCAAGCACGTAAAACGCATTGTTTGTTCACCTGGTCTGGTTTGCTGCCCTCTCTTCCTCCCGTCTATGGCGCATGGTGCAATGTGCGTGGGTGCATTGGTGCGTGGGAGCGTGGGTGCATGGGGATGCCTGTGTGGGTGCATGGGTGCGTTGGTGCATGGCTTCATGGTGCATGGGTGCATGGTGCATGGCGCATGGGTGCATGGGTGCATGGCGCATGGTGTATGGCGTATGTTGTATGGTGCGTGGTGCGTGGTGTATGGTGCATGGCGCATGGTGCATGGCGCATGGTGCATGGTGTATGGTGCATGGTGCATGGTGCATGGTGCATGGTGTATGGTGCATGGTGCATGGTGCATGGTGCATGGTGTATGGTGCATGGTGTATGGTGCATGGTGCATGGTGTATGGTGCATGTATCAGGGTACAGCCTGGTGATAGACGAGTCGAGCATGACGGGTGAGAGCCTGCCGTTGCAGAAGAACAGCGAGGCGCCGTTCCTGCTGTCGGGCACCAAGGTGCAGGACGGCAACGCGAGCATGCTGGCGGTGGGCGTGGGCATGAACACTGAGTGGGGCAGCCTCATGGCCAAGCTCACTGACGCCGGGGACGACGAGACGCCGCTGCAGGTCTGGGGGGTGGGGAGACTGGGTTGGAGGGAGGAGGGGGTCTTGCGGGGAGGGGAGGCTGGGTTGGAGGGGGGAGGGGGGGGGAGGGGAGGCTGGGTTGGAGGGGGGAGGGGGGGGGAGGGGAGGCTGGGTCTGGGTGGGGGGAGTGGTTGGGGGTGGGGTTGGGGA